TACTACTACTACTACTACAAGAATTACAACAACAACAACAACAACAACAACTACTACTACTACTACTACTACTACTAGTAGGGGAAAGTCGCGTAGCTGACGGGAGGTTTTTCTACACTTCAGGTTGAGGCTTCATTTTGAAATTTCTAGAGGGGCGGCGGTTTTTTTTCGAAAGGCTGCGCAGCGTTGCTACCTTCGCGTTTCTGGTGGTGTGGGTGGGAGGGTGGGGAGGCGGGGGGGGAACTACGTTCGTGACGACATTAAACACAGCAAGCTGCGAAAACAAATCTCACAAAATCTTGACTTCAGGTTCATTTTATAGTGAATTCGGCCTCAATTTGAAAATAGCTGGGGGGCGGCGTTTTCTGAAAAACTACACATTGTTACCTTCGTGTTTCTGGTGGTGTGCGTGGGAGGGTGGGGGGGAGGGGGGTAATTACGTCCGTGACGACAGTAAACACAGCAGGCTGTCGAAAACAAACTTCACAAACTTTCAAAAACTTTGACAAAACCCTGTCTGAGTATTGTATAAGGGGGGTTACCACGTTCGTGACGACGGTAAGCACAGCAAGCCCCGAAAACAAATCTCACAAAATCTTGACTTCAGGTTCATTTTACAGTGAATTCGGCCTCAATTTGAAAATCGCTGGGGGGCGGCGTTTTTCTGAAAAACTACACATTGTTACCTTCGTGTTTCTGGTGATGTGCGTGGGAGGGTGGGGAGGGGTGGGGGTAATCGCGTTCGTGACGACAGTAAACACAGCAGGCTGTCGAAAACAAACTTCACAAACTTTCAAAAACTTTGACAAAGCCTGTCTGAGTATTGTATAAGGGGGGTTACCACGTTCGTAACGACGGTAAGCACAGCAAGCCCCGAAAACAAACCTCACAAAATCTTGACTTCAGGTTCATATTACAGTGAATTCGGCCTCAATTTGAAAATCGCTGGGGGGCGGCGTTTTTCTGACAAACTACACATTGTTACCTTCGCGTTTCTGGTGGTGTGCGCGGGAGGGTGGGGAGGGGGGGTGGGGGCAAGCACGTTCCTGACAACAGTAAGCACAGCAAGCTCCGGAAAAAATCCAACACACTGACACAATTTTTTTGCACAAGCGACAGCGGTGGCTCCGCTTCTTGTGCTTGCACCGGCGACCAAACCGCGCGACATGGCACAGAGCGTTCCTTGAAGCCAAAATGGCTGTCGGACGGCGGGTTTTTCAAATCAAGTAGTTTGCCGGCCCCCCAACTGATGACCCGTCCCCTCCAATAATGCTGGTGAGCGCAGCATTTTTGCACCCCGTCGCCAACGCGACGTGCGCCTACTACTACTACTACT